ATACATATGTAGGTATTATTGAAGAGGAAATGCCAAACATGCAAATAATCAGCTGCAGTGACTTTAAAACTGTAGATGTAATGCATAAGTAGTCGGGGTTAAATTGTAGCTTTAAAAGTATTCGTTCCTTGCAGCGTTTTTCGCCCATCTGCATTCACTGAAATCATTTAGTAGTATCTTTAAGACAGGTGTTTTAAGCGCATCAACCGCTTCTTCTACCGTCGAGAATCGTTGAAGATGGAATTTATTTTTGGATATCGGGCACAAAAAAGAGGTTATTGGGTGCCAAATCAGGACTGTACGGTGGACGTACTAGTAATTCGATGTTTTCACCCCTCAAATAGGCAGTTGTTTGAGCCGAAGTGAAGTGAAGACCTCACATTTCCATAATGAAGAATAAGGGCCGGTTTCGTCGATGTTTTTGCAAAACCGCCCATCGCCCAATTGCAAAACCGCCTGTCGTACGGCACTCAAATTTTACAGGAGAGCGAAAAAACGGGTTGTTCTTTGAAGGTATTGCCTTGATAGCTATTATTTTCCAAATCTGTTGTTTTAATAACGATTTAACGATTTTTATGCATAAATCTCGAAGCCTGGAGTTCAGGATTACCAAATCTCATTTCTGCCACAACCGCGATTTAGGCGGTTTTGCCACTGGTCGTGGAGCAAAAAGAGATACATTTGGAAAGATTCGGCGTGTAGGCTACCTTGTGACGCGTGCGTTACTTTAAATCTCTACTCATCCAGAATCAACTCGAACATGCTTAGTGTATGCTTAAGATGTGAATACTACCCGCAAGATACTAACCAGCTTTTTACGTGCCTATCCAAACCATCTATTTTCCTTCTTTGGTCGAATCCTGTCTAAAGCAATAGTTTCCAGCGCCTACTGTTAGATGACTTTAATTCTCGCTCTAACGGAGAAATTGAAACATCATGGCGGGTTGATGCCTTTGTTGTTGTTGTTGTAACAGCATACAAATTCCCCAAAGAGATTTTGGGGAGTGTTTTGTGAATACAGTAACTAACTTCGCCATTCATGAATATTCTTAAGATGGTCTCATTGGAGATACTCCACTGACGTAAAATGGAACGTAAGGGATGAGACTTATACTAAATATTGTATTCTTCTATGTTCTGCTAGTGACTACTTCGGCAGAAAGGCAGCCGCTGCGGCTAAGTGGTTGCGTACTACCGCTCCAGAAGCCCTGGGCCTGATCCCTGCTCCGAACAACATCTAAAATTAGAGAAAGTTTTCTCTAACAGCGGTCGCCCCTGTATTTTCTCTTAAACTGGAAAATGTCTCGAAAACCCGCAAGTTTCACTAATCTTTCAAAATTTGCATGTAACATATTTTTGAGTTTAAAGTTCGGGTTTTCATTTTTTTTTTAATCCCAACAAGTATTTTGTTCTTTACTTCATTTTACAGTGTTTTAATATTGCGTCTATTTTAAATACTAATAAAATGCCTTTCGCAATACACATTTTATTTGTCCTTGATTACTACACTGGCATTGAAACTTTAAGTAATTTCCTGCCTGCTTTTCCGCTCCTATTCGCTAGCCTTTGCATAATTACGCGGCTTGAATCCCATTTCGCTACCATTCTGTGAACGCAGTACAATGCTCATTGAAGGTCTTACATTCTTACCAAGCGGCAAAAGTTCAAAGTGACGTAGAATTTTGCTTATTGCGCTCTTCATTTCGAGTATGGCAAATTTTTGACCAATGCAATTGCGTGGTCCTGCGCTGAAGGGTATATAACTGTACGGATTCATTTTCTCACCACCTTCAATAGATTCGTTGAGAAATCTTTCAGGGCGAAATTTGTCTGGTTCGGGAAAGTATTTCGGATCACGGAGCATAACAAAAATGCCGATAGTGTAATTTGTGCCAGCTGGTACAATTTTGCCATCTACGGAGCGAATAAATGAGAATTCGGATTAAAAGATCTGCTTTGATACTCACTCAAGTTAACATCCTCGTCGAAATTGCGTCCAATAAGCGGTACTGGTGGATACAGCCGCAATGACTCTTTGATTACACATTCCAAATACTTCAATTCGCCCAAATCGCGCAGCGTCACCGCTCGCTCCTCATCGTCACCCAGCACTTCGCGTATCTCCTCGAACAACTTCGCCTGTACCGCCGAATGTCGCGAGATCAAGTGGAGACAAAATGATAAGGCGCTGGTGGTGGTGTCGTGCCCTTCGAACATGAATGTATCCACCTCTTCGCGTATATCTTCATTGCTGAGGGGTTGACCGTCCATGGTGGACTGCAGCAGCACATCCAGCAAAGCCATGCGGCGTTTCATGCCAACTTCTGCATCAGTGGCTGGTATGGCGTCGCCGCCGAGTGATTGCTCAAGTGCAGCACGACGTTCCACAATGATGCGTTCGGTGAATTCGTGCATTAGCTCAATGCTAGAAAAGAATTTCTTAGCATCTTCGCGGGCGATCAGACGGAAAATCCAATCAATGCGCTGCCACACGTTGATGAAGCGGTTCGCAAGAATATTTGCAACGCTGTGTAAATAAGAAGAGTGAAGAATCGGTATGACTTAGGAGCGACAAAGAAACATGAGAAGCTTACGTGTTTACCGCCATGACATAAGGAAACTTTGGATTCATTTGCGCATTAACTTTGGTGCCCATAGCAGTTTCTGGTTAAAGAAGAGGAAGAGAAGTGAGTTCAGGTGTAAAGCTGCCTTTATATGAGGCGATTTTCCAGGCGATTCAACATTGTCTGGAAAAATCGCTCGTGTAAATGGTGATTCAAAAATCGCTTGCCTCAAAGTAGACAACAAGTCAACTTTTGCAGGCGATTATCACCTGTCAAAAAATCGCCTCATGTAAAGGCAGCTTAAGGAGTCGCAACAAAAGCACAATTTATAACTCAATAGGAAATATACATGCCACTCACCTGCAATCACATCCAACGCCATCAAGCATATTAATGGCACAATATTCACCACAGTTTTACCATCTGCCAATGCTTCTAACTTTTTCACGAGTACTGCACTTTGTTGGTCGAAAATTTCTACAAATTGTTCCAGTATTTTAAAATGAAATGTAGGCGTAATAATTTTGCGTCGTGAATGCCACTTGCGGCCGGTGCTCATGAGTAAGCCGGTACCAAGCCAAACTTGTAGTAGATCGTAGAGATTATTCTTCGTGATATAGTGTGGGCTGCTGAGTATAACTTCAACATCAGCGGGATCGCAAGAAAATACGCCCAGTTGATTGAGCAGCCAGACACGATAAAGTGGGCCATATTTTTCGCGATTCGAAGCAATGAAACTCATTATATCTGCAATGTGTTGGAGAAAAGGAGAATGATGTGAAGGAGTGGTAGCTTATTTTATGAAATGTAACTATTGAAATTGATCCAAAGTGCTACTTAGTGGAAGAAAGTTAGTGGAGTGAAGAAGGAGTGATATAAAAAAGAAATGAAAAGAAAAAAATGCAAATTAACACCTAAAGAAGTTAAGTCTAAAATAAAAGCAAAAAGTGGTTCGCTCCTCATTGAAGACTGTGTACGCAGGGAAGTGACATATGAATGTTTAAATAAAATGCAGAAAAACAAATTTAATATGAAATGAAAACAACAACGGAAATCGGTGAAAAAATAGAGAGCTTGTTGCTTACTAACTATAAATTTATAAAGATCCTGAAGGCAGTTAAGGGAGCTTTGGTGGGACCCACCACGCAAAAACCAATTCCAGCGAAGAAGAACAATAAAGCCTTGGATGAGACCCCTTCTGGTGGCGACCACGGCAAACACCTGGAATGTCCAGACCCTTAATGGGGAAGGTGACACTGCCTGGCTGGTTGTTGTCCTCGTAAGGAATCTCGCTTGGAATAACCGTGATTGGCGAGTTGAATGCCAGGCTGGACAAGGAAGCGACCAACCAACGTCGGAAAATTCTGCTTCTACAACGAGACGTCCGACAACGGAGTGCGACTGATCGACTTCGTCCGGGCTCGAAACACGGTAGTAAGCAGTACCAGGTTCAAGCATAAAAAGATCCACCAAGCTACATGGCTGTATCCAGATCAAAAAACGGGAAACCAAATCGATCATGTTGTGATAGACGGAAGGCACGCTTCCAGTGTTTTGGATCCACCGTCAACGAACTGTCTAGCTTTAGACCTGAAAAATCCACCATAGACTAGGTATTCACGATGGAAAGACCAAGTGGAGAATGCAAAGTAAAGGCATTTCCGATTGGCTTCAGTTCGCTCAGAAGAAAAACGACTGGCGTGCTTTGTCGAACTCGGCCAAAATCGCTTAGGCGGTTGCAGCGCCAGATAACACGAAGAAGAAGGCAGTTAAGTATGGGTTAGTGATAATTTAAATTGCCGCGAGAACCATAAAGAAAAGTCATAAAATTAAGTATAACGGATCAAATAAAAATAAAAGGGAAACTGGTGAATAGGTTAGTAGAATAAAATCTCAGAGAATTGTTGATCAAAGGGAGTGGAAAATAAATGGTAAAATAAAATGTAAGATATAAAATAAAGAAGAGTAGTTGGTACGAAAGTGAACGACACAGAGCCGCTCGATTACACCTATAAAGTGCTAATATATAGAAGAGTATAAACTGAATAAAAAAGGATGTTTCTATGCAACTGAACGAAACAAAAATCTCAGAAATAAAAGGAAAAAATTGGCGCACGTCGATCACATTCATTAAGTAATATATAAATAAAATAAGCAAAAGTAAGATATGTACGCGAGTAATAATAGAAACTGGCAAGTCACTTTTAAGAAAAAAAAAAACAACCAACTTAAATGCTCGTAAAAAATTTAGGAGTACCGTTAGTTTCCTCATAATCCAATGATTGCGACTAATAAAAATAAGTGTCGGATCACCCTTGGCGTGTCGTTCCACCGAATTGATAACCTTCTCCTTTTTATATGAAGTCGGCTAAAAAATATTAC